ACATTATAAGACCCGCATCGAGTGAAACTTCGGGCTTTCCTCCAAACATTCAGCAGACACCCCTGATACAACTGAAACACAGTTCCAAGCAGCGTTACACAAACTCACTCACATTATACCAGGGATGCTGGCTACGTTACTGAACTGTCTCCCTTTGTCCACAACATTCCAACCTAACATCTCCACGACATGACGTCATGTTGAACTCAAAGCAGATGACAACAAAAGGTACGTAAATGTGTTTTAACCTCCATATCAAAGTATGCTTTGCAATTTTAACTTTAAGACTATTGTTTTGGTTGAAAACCTTTTGTTTCTGAATAGACAAAAAACTTCATTTACAACCGTGAATATAGATATGCACAGTCTGTAAGACAAAACTGATTAGCTTAAATCATAATTTCTAGATTACTACTAGTAAATAATAAGAACAAGATGTGCCTACAAGAGACTTGCATACAATCCGTTTAGTTCGACTTCATCATAAGAATAGAGTTACTGTACACCCATGGACTTACCACTCAGTACAGTCTTGGAGCAGGCACCATAAAATAGACTATTTTATGGTCACTGCTTGGTGCAAGGCTATGTCCAATCATGTTCTGTCAAGTCTGTGATAGCAAAATCAATGGAATCTGGAAGCGTTCGTTTATTTCCATCAGAGTGAGTGAGTTCGGTTTAACGCCGCTTTTAACAGTATTCCAGTTACATCACGGCATGTCAGCTTAAGGTAGGAAGAAAGCCCGAAATGATGCAGGTCTCAGATGTTTACCACTTCGATGAAACCCACGAGCACGGGTATGGTGCTGACAAACCTAGATACATAATCGGTGCGAACCGGGATTCGAACCCACAATCATAGGTTTCTGGCGCGACAAAGGGACGCAACTCACAGCGAATCGCCCCTCAGACGCAAGTTTCTAGATAGAACCGGAATCATTCTTAATTTACCAATAAGTAGTAAAGATGTGCATGTTTGGCCGGTGAGTGAGTGAGTGAGTGAGTGAGTGAGTGAGTGAGTGAGTGAGTGAGTGAGTGAAAATGTAACGTCGAGTCGGCAGTATTACAGTATTAAGATATGCTTTATCCCAGATACCTAATGAAAGTAGCGGCTTGTTACAACATTATATAGCATTCTTAAACTGACTTGAAGTCTGTGACGTCTTCGGGTGTTCTTAACCAGTATCCATGTGATTATCGCTATCTCTTGTGTGTCGTGCCTCGAATGGTGGCTGTTGGCGATCAGAGATGAAGTTTTTCATTTTAAAAATATCCAAATTGGCCATTATCTTTTAGTTCCTGAAATTTCACAGAGGGTGTGTGTGTCACAGACGTATTGATACAACCAGAAGTAGGCTCGTCCGACAATTCAGGCAAACCATGCAGGATTATATTCAGGCATCTGCTCCTGTTTGTCTAGATCGTTTTCCAATTAATCAAATAGTAGAGTTAGCTCCTGTTGGTGTTGTTGATGGCTGTGTTGTTGTTGGTGTTGGTGTTATTGATGATGTTGTGGTTGGTGGTGGTTTTAGCTATAGTGTTGGTGCTGGTGCTGATGGTGCTATTGGTGTTGATTGTGGTGTTGGTGTTGTTGTTGTTGGTGGCGTTGGTGATCTTGGTGTTGTTGGTGGTGGTGTCGGAGTTGGTGCTGGTGTAAGCGTTGTTGGTGGTGCAGGTGTTGAAATTGTTGGTGTTGTTGGTGTTAGTGTTGTTGGTGTTGATGTTGTTGTTGTTGGTGTTGATGTTGTTGTTGTTGGTGTTGATGTTGTTGTTTGTGGTGGTGCCGGAGTTGGTGCTGGTGTTGGTGTTGGTTTTGTAAGTAATGGTGGCGGAGCCGGAGTTGATGGTGGAGGTTTTGGAAGTGTTGTTGCTGGTGGTGGTGTTATATTGGTGGTGTTGGTGTTGAAGCCGGAGTTGTTTTTGCTGTTGATCTTGGTGTTGTTGATGGTGTTGTGTTGTTGGTGTTGTTGTTGGTGTTGCTGTTGTTTGTTTTGGTGTTAATGTTAGTGTTGGTGTTGATGTTGGTGTTAGTGTTGATGTTGATGTTGATGTTTGTGTTGGTGTTGTTGGTGGTGTTTGTGGCAGCGCTTGCTTAAGGTTTATACGATGTTTCACATATTTTAACCTGATCTCCACACTAATCCAGCTTGTTGCCTTGGACGCCTATTCGGAAACTGCAGCCTATTCAAAACACATGTTACTGAGGAACATTATGAAATAATATAACAAAACCATGTCATAAAATCCATTTCTGGTGGTCCCCGTCATATTACTATAAACTAAGCCACCATACCTCCATGCTTGTTTCGTTTGTTTGTTGTTTAACGACACACTCACCAATAGTCCAGCAATATAAATAATCCAGTCTGGACGAGACAATTCAGTGATTGACACAATGAGCATCGATCTACGCAATTTGGATTCGTTGACAAGTAATATAACTAAAATGGATATAATTATCTTTAAACTACCCGCATGTTATCAGAAATGAGCAGGCCACTTGATAATGCCGTCATAATGCTTGACGTCGGGCCATTATAACCCCCGTTGTTAGGTGACGTCATCATCTGATTTGTTCTGTGACTTTTCCATATTTGTAAAAATGGGTCAGTGGCATTCATTGTGTGTTGATTGCAGCAAATGTTTCATAAGCGACATCGTTTTGTATTTCTATTTGGATACAAATTCTATCGTCTTTAGCTATAATAACGGTAACGCTTTTTTTCTGATCATAATCAAGCCCTCGGTCTTTTCCCCAGCCCTCCTTCGCCCAGCAGTTAAAAATGGAAGACCAGCGTCACTCTTATATCAACCAATTAAAAGAGCCTGACCACTCGAGCGCGTTCGTCGCCTCCTACGACAAACATCATTGCCTTTGACGGCAAGCATGGGTTGCTGAAGATCTATTCTATCCCGGATTTTCACGGGTCCATACCTAGTCTCGTGGTAGAGCTTCCGCCCGTACAGCGGAAGGTCCGGGGGTTCAATACCCGGCCGCGTAATACCAAAAGACGTTAAAAGATGGTAGTTGCTGTAACATGTATATCAGTCGGCATTAGAGGGGATAAGAACAAGCAGCCACATATATAACCATGCCTGCACGTCGCTATGCAAGTGCAATTATCTTGACCGCGACGCAAAACCCCATTTCACCTAACCTCACCATGTCAGAATGATGAGATTGGATTGGTACACATGTTCTTGATAACATTCTCTGAATCCCGCCTAGGAGGGGAAATACATTTCTGAGAGGGAGTATAAAAAGCTTTTGCCCTGCTTCGAAGCAAAAAGTATGACTCGGGTTACATGTGGTTTTATGCTTTTCCCGTTATGTTATATACCACTCGACGCCGGCTCGTGGTGTAAAACGGCATGTACTCCAAATCCTGCAACAAAGTTATACGCAATCCCTCTGCAGTAGTCACTGAAGGGGGTGTAAAATATGTTCTCGAATTTTCTCATAAGAATCGACTTGAAGGAAAACATGTCCCCATCTCTGTCATTGTTAAAGCGACATGTGTTATAGAAATGCTGGAGGCGTCTTTAAGTATATTTTTTGTCCTAAATATACTCCTTGTATACAACATATTTCACGTTAAACAAGAAAGTATATACGCTTTAAACAAATTGAGAATGCATGTGTATTTCCCATCGCGCAAAATCATGGTCGTTAAACAGCTCAAATGAACACGAATTGTTACTGTTGATTACCACATAATATTTATTGTCACCAAACAACCAAATCAACTTATATGTAACTATTTTCAAAACAATAGCTTCTCGTAATATATCACTTACATTATTCAGTTGGATAAACATCTCGCAAAATCCCACTGACATCCCCATCCACTGTCATCATGGAAAACGAGGCGACTGCATGGATCGATTGGTCAGGCTCGGCGACTTGCCTGAATGTGTGTCGTACCATGTGTCATGATAATTTTACGTCAGTCATAACGATCAAAGTAGGAATAGGTCTTCAGCAAAACATGCAAGTTGTGAGAGGCGACTATGCTTGTAAGAGGCGACTATTGGGATAGGGTGGTCAGGCTCGATTACATGGTTGATGCATGTCATCATATCCCAATTGCGAAGATGGATGTTCTTGACGCTAATCACTGAAATATCTGGTCCAGACTCGATTAGCTAACGACCACCATCATATAGCTGGAATATTGTTGAGTGCGGCGTTAAAAAACGAACAAACAATTAAACGAACAAACAAAAATGTTTTACCTTTTATCTAAATGTTATATACATTTACACATATCACATCAAGATTACAGGTTCAAGGGGTTATAGTTGAAAGGTGTAGGAGATCATGAGTTAAACTTCTGGTTTTGTGTTGTGTACACACTACACTGTTTACAGAGTGATATTTGTACATACGAAAATGAAAGCCTACTTTCACAGAGAAGACATGTTCGAGTCATGTAGTTGTTCCTGATCAGTGAGTATAGGCTACAAATCATATCAGTGTCACCATCACGACAGCGCCTTTAGAATCATTGTCACCATCATGACAGCGCCTTGACAATCATTGCTTTCTTCTTCTCTGTCATGTTGATGTCGCTGCCCACTACAAGTGTCATGCTGACAGTGACGTTATCTGGGTTATACACCCCGAACATCGGCCACAGTGGCTGACTGGAGTGTACATTGTCTAACGTCGACATCACTTTGTTCTCCTTCACATCAATGAAGACAATCTTCTTTCTGGTGTCATCATAGACAACACCGTAATGTAGTGTGTGTGATGCCCCTGCTGAGTTGGGGAGAGTGTCAGGCAGACAAAGCACACGCTTCCACTCCTTACATGTCCTCCTGCATATCCCGCCGTGTGTAGTACAGTGGACGACCTGCATGCAGCAGGTGCTGGGTTGTGCACCTATATGATTGATACAATGAGACACGTCCCTCTGCTCCTCCCCGCATACACCCACCTCCAGGATGAGGACCTGCCCTGTGAGTGGTTTGTCCAGACTGACCCTGTTCACCACCTCCCAGTACTGGGGACAGCCAGCCCGGGGGAGGGGGGCAGTGCTACTTGTGCCATCATACTTCTTCAGTCTCCCCTCCCCTGCAGGTCTGGTGTCCGACTCCCTGTTGACCAGGTCTCCTTGTGTGTTGATGTGGACTGTGTCGAGATTGACTCTGTCTTTGTCATACTTCAGATGTATACCTACAACATATGAATGTAGTTTACAAGTGAATAACACATGAGACAAACTGGGGTATTAAAGTTGTGCAAAAATATCCAATTGCAAGGAATGCACAGCTAAGTACAATGTACTGACATACAAATAGTGTAATATAATCACAGTGCAGTAGTATGAACATAAAACCTACTATGTATTACGTTTTGGTGTATGAATTCGGTAATCTTTTAACGCGAATGTAAAATCAGTTAGTAACAGGTCTTGTGTAACAGGTTCGTCACTGAAATATTTGCAGTGGAGATTCTGAATTACTAAAACAAAAGGATACACATCCCGCAATAATCACGCAGAGCGCGAAAACTCGCGATCACAGTTGTTCACAATCGTTTAACAGAAACACGAGTGAACGCGGTATAATGAGGAAGAAGCTTAAAATGAGGCTGTTGAGATCACAGTGTAACGTGTCATCCGGTAGTTGGTGGAGTATGGTGTAGCACGTTGCAGGACGCACATGGTTTGGGGCTTGGCGATGGGAGACAGTAGATGGGCAGCATTATCAGAACAGGACACAGTCAATAACACAATAAACAATAAGCGACATTACATGTAGTGAACAAGTCATGTTAGAAAATATTTCTTGAACTTTCTGCTATTTTGTTATTTGGAGTATGTTATAGTGTTCTTCTGTAAACGAAATATGTTGAGACCAAACAGCAATTAAATTAATTGTAAATATACAAATATATTTTGAAATGTCCTGGCGCTTTGCTGTCAGAATAAATGTCGTGCGGCACGTGCGAAATAGACCATGCGCCCGCCCAGAACGTGCAAGCATGTCGACACCGCTCCAGCTGAGGCGCGTGCTGTTTGATTGCTCTCAGTCTCAAAAGCAGATGCAAGCAGGTGAACAATTGTTGTCAATTTCATTCTAGTCATTTCTGAAAATTGGTTTTCTAAAATTAAGATCAACTGCGCTCATGTCATTGCGTGGACAACATTTAGATTTATTTCTCTTATACCACAGTGTAGGAATTACGAGTGGAAAGAGAACTTTCCCGTTAACTAACTGTCAATACGCATGTTACCCTGAAAATTGACCAGTGACCAGCTGTCGACGAGGGCCAATTATCGCTTAGTCCCCGCTACAGCGCGCACGTGATCGCAACTTGTTTTACCTTTGCTCGGTTTCAAGAGAGAAATATATATCTAGAAATGATAAACAAATATAACTCCTGTGAATAAATATTAAAAACATACCATATAATCACCTTGCTGAAATACAACTTTAGAAGAGACACGCGGGTGGTGTCACGTGACTAACTAACGCGTAAACGAAAATCCAACAATACGATGATGCACTTTCAGTTCTGTCATAGCTTACTTTCTGTCTGTCATTTCTTCCACCAAAACAATTCTAAAACCTATTTGAGCTATTTTCCAAATGTGAATAACCCTGTATATATCGCGAAATCCATAGTACATAGTGTGAAATCACATTGGTTTGCAGGCGACAAACTGATAAAAGCATTTGTTATTAATTTTACCAAATATAAAAATAGCTTGAGATACGAGAGAAAATAAAAAATGTAATTTGTAAAACTGAACCGATGTGCTTTATCACGTGGCACGTGCTGTTTAGATAATGGCGATAACTGGTTCAGTTTGTCGACGGGAAATTTCTTTTTCCACTGTTTTGATTCCCTGTTGTCGCGTTATAACAGAAAGCTAATGATTATTTTTCCACTGACAGAAATACGCACACTTGCCCATTTGCAAAGCTTATTGCACAGTTAACTTTGAACGGGGGATATTTCAGAAATAACATGAAAAATGGCGACACCTGGTCGGCGACAAGTAGGGATAATTTTATTGATTATTATGAAATAGGAAATGTTTTCAATACTTTTTGTCAATGGACGCAAATCCAAATTAGCAAAAATATAACCTGTAAATACAAATCAATAACGCTGTTTACTAGGGTTTCACGATGCAGGTTATGAACATTGAAAAAGTGATATTTAAAGCAGTGAGATAGTATTTTCAGTTAGAAATGACAGAAAGGTTTACATAAAAGCGACACAACTCTTTCCATGACATAACAAATCACAATTGTATGATCGTACGCAATGTCGAAACTAAATGACTGTCAGGATTAGAAAATTAACATGTCCCTGACATAATTGAATCACGAAACAATTTTGCCCATAACCTGAGGACCGCCTCCGTTGTCTTGTGGTAGAGCGTCTCCCCTGAGAGTGGAAGGTTCGGGGTTCAATGTCCGGCCGCGTCATGCCAAAACACGTTAAAAGATTATACTTATTGTTTCCCTGTCTGGCGCTTGACATTCAGGGTCTAAAACAAGGACTGGTCGCCTCGGAGTCAGTATACTGTGTCTGATTGGGGTATTCATGTTAATCTGTGGCATGGTATCTCAGTGAGCTAGCATCAGTCCGGACATATTTACTCATTAGCACAAAGTGCATTTTGTATTTTGAAGAATGCCTCATTCATGGTGTGAGGTAACTAATCAATACCTATTTCCTTCACTTTTCTATGATTGTAACTATATCTATTGCCACGGTCTATGCTCTCCAAAAATGTACATGATGATGAGAAATGTTACGATCGGTAGTCAGATGAAAACCGCGTTTTGCTGAGCAGAATTGCGTCCCTAAACCTAAACATCTCCGGAAACCTAATTGCGGGTTCGAATCCCGGTTCGCCCCGATTATGTTTCTAGTTTTGTCAGCACCATACCCGTACGCGTTGGTTTCACCGAAGTGGTAAACGTCTGAGACTTGCATCACCTCGGGCGTTCCTGCAACATTAAGCGGACACGCCGCGATATAACTGGAATAATGTTTAAAGCGACGTTTAACCCAACTCACTCACTCACTCACTCACTCACTCACGCACTCACGCACTCATTCACTCACTCACTCACTCACTCACTCACTCACTCACTCAGGTCATTCTTGATTTTGTCAAAATCGCCCCGATCTTTCTATTGTTGATTTGTATTACCCACAGTAACACGCAAGCCCCTACTCTTGCTTTAACGCAGTATTTGTCATAAGATTGGGAATGCGTCATCTATAACGTGATGAACCACTATGGATGATTGACATGCTTCAAAATTTTTTAACTCAGGGAGAAGTAGTTGTAGCCAATATGTTCAATTTTTTTCTTCGTCTGTGTTTTGCAGACACTGGAACAGGATTCTGCAGACACAAAATGTTAATGATGGACCCAAAAACCAATGACGTTTAGAGGGCGGAAACTCTGGGAATCGCGAATCACTCTGGATAGACTTCAACGAACGTTAACGTAAGGCAACATTAGATTTGACGGTAGGTCTGTACTGATATCTGGCAGGATCACAATGACTGCCAGAACGCCACTGCATATTGTCCATACATGTAAGACGGTCATTGGACAGTACTACCGAGATATCAGGCTAGCGACGATAGTAATTCCGTTTTCGCTGCATGCTAGTCCACGTTGTGCCTTTCAAGACGATAACACTCGTGCCCACGGTGTACGTATCGTAACTGACGACCTCCAACAGCATAACATCACACGATTGCAATGAGCAGCCATGAGTTCTGATCCCTCCCCTATAGGCTACACACAACCAAATGTTTTCCCATAGAATTCTATAGTAACGTTATAATCTTTTCTTAAATAACTAAGCATTCAACAGCTATTACCTGTACGTGTGTGCACAGTTTGGTCTTAGACTAGCTTAGCCAGCTCCTTTTCCGAGTACCGGAAGCTAAACACACCACCCCCAGTTTCGCACCAAATGTCACCTACTTGAAAATAGCTGTGGTCACATTCAGCATAAGTCATCATGTTGAAAAAGACATGGTCAGTTTTAATAACTGGATGGATGTACATTTGAAGACATAAAAATCTTACAGAATATCCTCCAATCACAGCCTGTAGATATCTCTCGATCTGCACTGAAGGCTCCCTACGAAAACCGCACTGTCCAAACTGGTTCTGATTTGGTGTAGTAGAACCTATAACGCATAATCCAGGGACGTGTACGCCGACGTCAACGGCTGCCGTTAGCCGAATTGGGCCAGCCGCTGCAAGATTAATTAACAAGAATCCCGCAAATTGTCATTGGGAGATTGATTCGGACCTTGTCGAGCATAAACAAAAGTTTGACCAGACGTTGGGCATAACTCATTATTGATCAAATCATCTCAAACGTTAATGTTTTTGACAACACACCAATGTCGCCTTTCTTGATTGTTTGTACCCTTACAATGTACCGCCAACATGTTCTGTTGATTGGTCTGTTACACCTAGTCCTTCCTATGTCGCATCCATTCATTCCAATCACTCGATACTTTTGGTATTGTTTTGTAATAATGCTACATACAATGTTTCAAACTCTATTTCGCCTTTAAAATATATTATCGCCAATAAATTGTCCGTTTCACAAGTCTAACCTGTACAAACAAAGGAAGTAATAATAAAAGTGTTAAGATATTGGCAGGTTAGGAGGCGGATGCAAGAACAAATGCAGTGACTTAAATCTTAACTTGTGAACCTTGATATCCACATATTTGGAGACAAACAGTGTATAAAGAATGTTCAACGTTTTGCAATAGCAGTTTCACTACACTTGGACCACAATCTGCTTAACACATCACAAGACACATTTGTATTCACACGTGAGCGACACACAGGTTATTTAGAACCAAGTCTGTGAGACTATATTGTCACGTCTCAGTAACACGGTGACTTTATCGGCACGAGAATATTGATGTACTTGAAATTATTCACACACGCACATCACCATACACAACAGTGTCAATGGTAACAATATGACCAATTAAGTGGTTAAACAGTCCACTGTACCTGCCTGTACATGGTACTCACGATTAACACTGACAACTTCATACTGGCTCAGTTTTTGTTATCGTGAGGCTTCTGTTAAAATGTTTCAGATATTACATCTTAGAAGTAGAACGAACTTCGCAGATATTGCACGATATACAGAACATCC